TCTGCAAGTACACTAAAACACAATAATTTACGCCAATCATTCTAATCGACGTTCGTACAGTGAGATCAAAACATCTTCAGCTTTAGATGCTTAACGTACTTCATGTGACTATTCTGCTAGTCGCTTTCCCAAATGTTACTCCATCCTGGAATGCGGAAGAATTGGCCCTATATGATTTGGTTGAGGAAATCAACAGTAATTTCTATGAGCTCTTTGGTATCGCAAAGGTATGTCGTCGCATTTGATTTCTGGACTTGCAGTTGTTATTTATCGTAAGAAGATTGAGCAGGAGGGAAGTATCCTGTATTTTGAGTCTGGCTGAGATCTCTTGGACGAGATGGTTGTAGGAAGCAAGATTTAAAGTTCGCTGGAACTCTCCAGTTTGGTATCCTAGAAACTTTCACAGGTTTGGCGAGGTGTTGGACAATCCCAAATGGGACAAAGTCCATCTGGTGTTTGAAAATTCGTTCATTGGTTTCAGTGGGAACGGCCATAAACGTTATCAGACTACGTCCTGGATGACCACCGTTAGCTGAAATTGGCAGAGGCGGTGCAGTGGTTGGAGCGCCACGTCTGTAATTCTGTATGGGATCTGATCGTTATAATCGAGCCCTCCGAGGTCTTCTAATTGTTAACCTTGTAATTTGAGGAAAAGAACAGTGGCTTGAACATGCGCTGGCCCTAGTAAGTTACTTCAATATGTTAAAAATAGCTAATCAAGTGCCTTTCTGAGTTGACGAAGTGGGATGCCTCACAAAAATTGATCGCTCTGTTCTATTTGTTGAGGTATAGCAGGTATCCGATCCTATTTGACAACATCTCTTACCACCATCGTGCCTAGACGAACTCAGCCTAAAGTTTCCACATAAAATTAGGCTCATAGATCAACATAAAGGGCGTAGGTGCTAACGGTGACCGCATGCAATGAAGCCATTGATTCCTATTATACAATGTTTTCGTCATTACAGGATGCATCGATAGCAGAGATCAAAAAAGCCTACCGAAGGCTCAGTCTAGAATGGCATCCTGATAGAAACAGTGCACCCGATGCTTCTGAAAAGTTCAGACAGGTAAGTGTTTGTACGCCTTTTGTTGTTTATTGTTTGTTTGTAACTGTATAGCAAACCGGTTACACATGGATAAGCTTGAAGTAAATGGAATCAAATTGAATATTAATGGTGGAAAAATAGGCTGTGAGGTAGTTTGTCCAGCGTAGGAGATTGAAAAGTGCGCGTTACAAATGTCTACACGTGGTTTGTAAAAATTGGCGTTGGGTGTTTGTTGACCATGTCTTAATTAGGGTGCTAACTTAGTTGGGGGGGGGCACGCGGCGGCGCGGCAGTCTGCTCGCCTGGCATGTTCGGAAATCCGTGGGCCAGGGGAGTGTGTAGTCTAGGGGGTGGGGGTGGGGCAGTCACTTGACATGCGTGAAAAGCTGGAATGTTCGAGTTTACACTGTCTCGCTCGAGAGAGCCCAGGTGAGCAGACTGCCGCGCCGCCGCGTGCCCCCCCCCCAACTAAGTTAGCACCCAGGAAGAAGACACAATTAGGAAATGTCAAGCGCCGCGATCAGATCGCTTGCGAATCGCAAGTGCCTTATTTGAACACTTGTAACACTGACTATGCAAGTAGAATCAGGAACAGTCGTCATTCAACTAGCAGCGGTGGAATCGAAGACCAACTCGCAGTATTGATCGGGGCATTTGTGATTTCTGTGATCCATTGTGCGATTCGCGCGAATCGCGGACGGATCGCGGACTTGACACCAGGCTTAGTCACGCTTGCTTATTAGGTACCGGATATCTTAGTGTCGTTTTTTCACCGCGAGTTTCGGACCACCAATATTTTAATTCAAAATCCAGTGAGTGAAACGGCATATCCATCGAATGACTCATTAGCCCTTTCCCATTTACCAGTATGAGTGAAAACCTCGTACGATTAAAGTTAGGAATTTTTTGAGACGAAAAAGAGAGGTAGGTCGAATTTGACATCATCTGACAAATCATCCCTCTACCTTGCTAAACAGTTGGGCCTGGACAAAATATGTATACATTTAGTTAGAGTAGGGTCTGCACTGTTTGGTGGAAAATTTATTACTTACCAGCTCAACTGGACAATTTTTCCCGGAGTCTTTTTTGCCACATAGGGTCAAAAACGCACCCTTTTTGAGCACACGTGAGTAGCAGATGAGCACATTTATTAGAATTTCTTGGTCAATCAACTTCGTTAGAGCGTCTGTGCACCATCGATCAGTAACTGCTAGGGTGTCCTACCATTCCAGCACAAGACTGGTGCAGCCCCGTTTTGACTGATTTAGCTAGGACCACCTTTTTGGCGACGGTTGCGGGCATCCCTTCAAAGACTTTACTGTCTTTTAAGAAAACTGTGAAAAACCGATGAGCATTTTAAATGGTAGTATTCCCTCCATCAAATGCAATGCTGGTTTGGTGGGCGGAGGTTACAGCTCTCAGCAAGAATTTTGATGCATTTGGTACACACATGCGAATTTGCACACTGGACCCAGGAATTTTCAGAAGAAAGTATAAAAATTGGGGGAAAGTTAAATTGTGAACCAACAATAGAAGACGGTAAGCAACATATTTCGCAATATTAATGAGCAAAAACTGCCTTCTGGGATATTGATTTTCCATAGTAATCGGCCCCAAAACTTCCTGAACTCAGAAAAGCGACACTAAGATATCCGGTACCTAATACTTTAGGGTGGCCTCAGGTTGGTTGGGGGTGGTCTGCATTGTTGAGAACTGTTTTTCGATTTATTACTTATCTTATTTCTCTGATCTACTTATCCAGCATAGTATACATCATTATTATTAACAACATATCGCCAATGCGAGGGTGGGTATTCAGTGCCTCTCTTGTGGACTTTCATAGAGTTCTGATCGAAGGAAAATTGTAGTCCCGAATCAGTTCTCAACCCAATCTGACATCATCAAGTTCCTGTTGGTTTCCTATAGTTCCTTCGGATGACCATCTATAATACTCATTGGTCCCTCTGAATTCGAACTTCCTGAGTCGTTGGCGCAATACGGGAGGGCCTTTGCGCTGAAGACCGGCATCAACTAATACCAGTGTCAGTGATGGGAAGAATCGTTGACAGCTTGATGGCAACCGCCTTCAACTTGAAAGCAAAGGAAGACAAAATCTATTTTTCTCTGAGGTCGTTCGAGCCCGCCTTGCTAAGAAAATTCCTAAAAAATTGGAGACTCTCGGGCGGTCAGTTCTTTTAGCTCCGCCTTATAGCACTAATCCTGCGTCAACGAACGACTATCCGCTCTCCTCTCTCAATCACCTTCTGGAGAAGAAATCTCACTTGAATCACCATAAAGTCAAAATCGACATCCAATATTTCTTCGATCAGAACTCTATGAAATTCTATAAGAGGGACACTGAATACCCACCCTCGCATTGGTTAATATTGGTGATGTATACTGTGCTGAATAAATACATCAGAGAAATAAGATAAGTAATAAGTCGAAAAAAACTCTCAAAATAGGGACCGACCTAATAAAACACCACAACGCAAATAGAGCTTTATGAAGATGTGAGAATGGCTTCTAGTGGTCGGGCAAGCATAATCTCTTCTTGGCCGATATCTCCGGAGCCGCAAGTGCGACCTTTTGACCGTCTCCTAGTGGTTCCAGACTGCATAATCCTTGTGTTCAAATCAGTTGATTAGACGGCTTGATGTTCATGGACCATTGTGCGGAAATGCGGAATTTCTCTTAGTATCTTGTTATTGTGTTCTTAAAGAAGTTCTTTCCCAATCATTGCAAATTTTGAAAGAACTCTCTTGGTGTGCACGCCAAATGTGATTTGGCGAGTTTCAAACATCTTTATCATGTCGATTTTCCGAAAGGATGAGCTCGATGGGTTTCAAAAAATGAAGAAAACTAGATCTCTTCGAAGTCTGGCGGCGGTTCCTGCAAAATTTTTCTGGATCCTGCTTGGGCCACACTTCCTCTGTTGTCGCAATCGCTCTTCTCATAAATCGTAGTAGCCCTTGTAGGTTGACTTCACTAATGAAACGAAGTGTTAGAAAAGCCTTTATTCTGCAATAACGAATCGGAAGCAAATTCAAGTAGGCAAGCACGCATGTCCAATAAGCCTCTGTTCTAAGGCTTCATAACTAATCGCAAAACACAGCGGCGTTATCGTTTTGACGTGTGCACGCAATTAGAGTTCTACAGGCATAAGTATATCCGTGGGAGCTATACTTCGTGATCTTATTCTGTTCTACATAAACATTCAGTCAAGTTTTGATCAGGTGGTCTCGATATATGAAGTCCTGAAGTCAACTGAATTGAGGGAGAAATACAACAATGTGCTGGAATTTGGCTTGCCTGACTGGAGGCAGCCCATATACTACTACAGGTAGCTGTATTCCTTTGAATGGCGCTCGCATGTCTGTTATAGTACTCTTTCATAGGAAAATGCGAAAACTCGCCTGGTACGAGGCTATTCTTGTGCTTGTCGGCGTGTCAACCATTGCCCATTACTTGATGATGTGGGCAGCTTACTACGAAAAATACTTGGTTTTATCGCAGGTGGGGTGTTTTGAATTTCAATAAGGTTTCTGTTTCGAGAATTGAGTAATGTTCAATATTTGATCCATGAAGATTTTGAATTCACTGAATCACCTTTAGAATCTGAAAAAGTCTAGAAAGCGTGAAAAGAAGGGGAGAGCCCGAGTGTTCGGCAACACAACTGCGAGAAGCATTGGAAGTCTACCGGCCACAGTTTTATGGTCTGCTACCCTTTCTCATTGTCAAAGGTTCATGGAGTGCTTTTATGGTACGTTTAGAGGTGCTGTATTTGCATATAAAGAAATTATTGTTTGCTAAAATCAAGTTATTCAAGATGTTTTATGATTGATTTCGTTGCAGTCACTAATTTCGATGGCTCAGGAGTATATGACTCGCAGAGAACCAGAGGAAGAGGTATTGTCTTTCAAACAGCTGTGGTTTATCCTTATTTATGAAACAATGTCTTCAGAAAAGTCATGATCCGGCTTGTTCGATAACAAGCCAATTAGGTTTCTTCCCAGGTTGTTACACACTTTGCTAGTGGTGACCTATCCCTCTATTTCCATGGGTATCCTTTCGTACAACTGCCTCATTTACTGCGACTCCTAATTGGGGTTCATTTGCATTTTGGAGGGACACCCGAATTTCTGAACAAGGTTTTATCGAAAATTCAAGTTTTTTTTTCATTCGATCTTTACGCATTTATTGTGTTTTGGAGGCGGGGAATTATTTGCGGAGTCAATTAGTATGCTGAATTCACTTGATTTCAGGTTGAAGTGGTGGAGCCTCGCAGGCCTGCCCCAACCCCTCGAGCTCCAGAGTTCACTTACGAGATGGCTACTGATTTGAAACCCGTCAGCACTAACAATCCCGAATTATACGCTAAGTATATGTCCGAACACGAGGAGTCTACCAAAAGTTTGTTTCCGAATTGTCATGAACTTTTCTTATTTTTTGCTACTGTTACCAGCTC